CTCACAAAAGTGGCTGAACGGAACATTAAAAAATGCAAAAGTTAGTGGTTAGATGTTTGTATAGATATCCATTGTGATTAGTTTTTGCAGCTGCAAGGGCAAGATGTGTTAAAGAATTAATTGCTATGCATACAAACTAATTAGTTCTTGTAGACCCATTTGTTCATATTAAATCATGATACATCTCGACTGTAATCTATTTTAATTAAAGATGGAGTTGGGCCATGAAAAATATGTTCAAAATCCAAAAGGTTAAACAAAAAACTATCAAATCAAATGCAGCAGTGTGAACATTTTGAGAGGAAAGAGCTCCACACAAAAATAACTTAGAACTTATCACATGGCTTCTCAAGTTTGGGTCTGGGGCCCTGAATGAAACTTTGGTTCATTATTCATTCAATGATATTATTGTTTTTTTAATATTATATATTTTTTTTTTATTGCAATGTTGCAGCAGAGGGCCATTGGCAGCTTTAAAGAGTTTGTGACATACTTGCGCTAATCATTATAAAATGAGAAGTTTATGATGATGTTTACTGCTGCTACGGTACTTAACAACTATCGTCCCATCTCAAATCTGCCATTTATGGGGAAAGTCCTTGAAAAAGTTGTCTACCTACAGTTTACTAGATTTCTTATAATCAACAACTCATTTGATATGTTTCAGTCCGGCTTTAGACCCCACCACAGCACTGAGACTGCTCTCGTTAAGGTTACAAACGATATCCGGCTGAACACTGACGCAGGAAAAGTCTCAATCCTAATCCTGTTAGATCTGAGTGCTGCCTTTGACACTGTCGACCATGAGATCCTCTTACAGAGACTAGAGGACTGGGTTGGCGTCGCTGGCACCGCCCTAAGTTGGTTTAGGTCTTACCTTGAAGACAGGAAGTACTTTGTGGAGATTGGAAACTGTGTCTCAGATCATATGGCCCTGACCTGTGGAGTACCACAGGGGTCGATCCTGGGACCTCTTCTGTTCAATCTCTACATGCTGCCGTTAGGTCAGTTAATACGCAGAAACAAAGTTTCCTATCATAACTATGCAGACGACACTCAGATCTATGTCTCACTGACTGCAGGAGAACATGGACCAGTGGACTCACTCCTTCACTGTATCCAACAGATCAGTGAGTGGATGCAAAACAACTTCCTTCAGCTAAACGCAGACAAAACTGAAATGATTGTCTTTGGTCCCCAGAAACAAAGAGAGAGCGTCATCTATCACCTACAGTCTCTCTCCCTAAAACCTTCAAACAAGGTCAGAAATCTAGGGGTAATACTGGACTCAGACTTAAATTTTAATAGCCACATCAAATCAGTAACATCAGCAGCTTTTTACCATCTATTAAACATTGCCAGGATCAAAAACATAGTGTCTAAAGCAGACTTGGAGATTCTTATCCATGCATTTGTCTCCAGTAGGTTAGACTACTGCAATGGCCTGCTCACAGGTCTGTCCAAACAGGCTGTAAAACAGCTACAGTACATTCAAAATGCAGCAGCTCGAGTCCTGACTAGAACCAGGAAGTACGACCACATTAGTCCGGTCCTCAGGTCTCTGCACTGGCTTCCTGTGGCTCAGAGAATAGACTTTAAAACAGCTCTGCTTGTGTACAAGTCTCTCCATAGCCTCGCACCAAACTATATTAGTGACATGTTAGTCCCATATGAACCAGTCCGGACTCTGAGGAGCACAGGGACTGGACTCCTGTTAGTGTCCAGAGTCAGAACTAAACATGGGGAGGCTGCTTTTCAGATTCATGCTGCTAAAATCTGGAACAGTCTTCCTGAAGATGTGAGACAGGCCTCCTCTCTGACAATGTTTAAAACCAGGTTAAATACAGTTCTGTTTAGCTGTGCATACAACTGAGGGATTTTATATTTTTATCTTTTTTTTAATGTACTGTGATTATTTATGATTTTAATGCTTTCTTGTTTTGTTCAGCACTTTGAATTGCCTTGTGTATGAATTGTGCTATACAAATAAACTTGCCTTGCCTACTCTGTATGACTTTTATGACATTTTCTGGAAGCACAAAACCATAATTTATGTGTGCTGTATGCTTCTTCATACGGCGTCTGAAAATATATTTATTTATATTAAACAAATGTCAATATATGTCCCAAACATTGCGCATAAATCAGCATTTACATTTGGATCTAAAGTGACTATATGAAATATTAATGAATTATTTATTTATTACTCTCATTCAGACAAATGATTTTGCTTTCACCAATCAGCCTATTGAAATGTACTCATTTACAAGATTCCACATATTTCTGTATGGTTAAATTATGTTTTCTATGCCAGCCATCAAGGTCAGAGCACTCTGTCCATGCAGGTAAAGCGTCTTTAAACCCTTTGAAAGCTAAAAGTTGTTGTATCCAACCAAAATATATTTACATTCACCACTCCATTTACCTTCATGCTTGCCTTGTATATGTATATATATATATATATATATATATATATATATATATATATATATATATATATATATGTAGTGAGCTGGCATAAGCTCCCTAGTGAAAGCAGGGGGCGCAGTATAAAAACCTGTCAATTGCGCTACCTTGCCTCTCCTCTATCCAACGTCACATCCGCTGCACGGGGCTCGGAGCGAGGCAGGCCAGTTGGGAGGTTGCTATGGGTCGTGTCGGGGCGTCAAGCCGGCGGCTGAGGCTTAAGGCCAGCAACTGGGTGGTGCCCAACTTTACTGCGTCGCTGGTAAGCTCCGCTCGTAGTTTTTAATTGCGCCGCTGGTCGGCTGCGTCACTAATTTAACTATTGTTTTTAGCATTGTGCGTGTTGGCCCGGCTACCGCATAGCTGAGCATGGTCAGAGGCTCGGGGTCTCGGTATGGTGCGGGGAACGCTACACTTTGCTTTCTGGTATGTTTTGTTTTAATCTTTTGTCTGTCTTTGTCTGACTCAATGTAGTACATGTTTTATTTCAGTGTCAATGTTTTAATGTTGTAGGGTGCTGTCGGCGTGCCCGCCTCCCCTTCTTCTTGTTTGGACGAAATCTGCAGACGAGTCGTCTGTTTTTTAAGAACTATGATGCTGCTTAACTATGGACAATGACCGAGAGACTGTGGTCAGTGCGCAGACGTGCGCCCTGCGGAATCAAGATAACTGGAAACAAAGAACTGATGTACAGAACCTATTATCAAGAGTTGCTCCATTAAAAACTAAACGAGTATCGTTGAACTTCTGCCTCTGTCCAGTCAATTTAAGCTTACCTGTGTGCCTTAGATCCGAGTAAAAATTGGGTATCATATGCCCTGGCGTTGCTGGTTATGTATATCCGCTCCGTATTGCCACATATATATATATATATATACAGTATACGTATATATAGAAAAGGCATTGACGTGTTATTTGTAGCTTTGAATGCCAAATGATATACATTTCTGTCTGATTGCACATGACAGGTTGGCTCTCTAATCCTAGTGGATTGTAAATATTGTTCTGCTCCTTAATATTCAACGGACCTGATGCGATGCACTTTCAAATTAATATTAATGTCATACATTATTAACGTGGTTCTTCTTCTGTGAAAGGAAAATGCATTATTAGCTTCCTTGTATAACATTATTGCCATGACAGAAAAGACCTTTCCCCCTCAGTACTAAAAGGGCTCAGGATAATACAGAGGCTTTGAGGAGAACATGCATGCACTCTGGGGAGTTTGACAAGGCTTATATTAAAACTAGTTGAATTATTTATGCCATTACTGTAAAAATACATATGTAATTTTTCATCAATTATTTCTATTGTCTCATAATGTGTTTGAATGTTTTACCGGATCAAAGTAAAGATATGCTTTTCAATGCTTTTAGATAACAACAATAATGGGTCTCTGTGTTTTAAGACTTTGTTGGAAATATTCTGTGGGTCTGACACTTGCTTGTTGTCACGGAGATGCTATAATAATAATAATGAACACTCAGACGCTTCATTATTTTTTCACTCCATGCACGGTGGTGATAAACTACAACTGTAGCCACAGCTGCCCTGGGACACACTGACAGAAGTGAGGCAACCAGTATATTCCATCAGCCCCTCCGACCACCACTAACCATTCCCATTCACACACACCAGACTCATTCTAGGTAATGGGGGTGAAGTGTCTTGCCGAAGGACACGATGGCAGTTTCGCACTTTACAGGCGCAGCCGTCCCACTGGGGCACCAAGTGGGCTCTCCCATCACAGTACTAACCAGGCCCTGCACTGCTTAGCTTCAGAGGCTTTCGCATGCAAGTTCGGCCACAAATGCTATATTCTTTGCTGGGCACGTACATCAGCAGGGTATTAAACTCTTAAATGTTTGCAATTTCTTTTGATTTAAGGTTCCAATACTTTTGTCAATAATGCAATTGTGTGATGTGTGCAATAGTGTGGCATAGTGTGATGTGTCGTCATGTGCAATAGTAACAAGTGGAAAACTTTGCACATCCAACTCTGTGACATGTGCGTAAGTGAAGGCTCCAATCTCAGCTTCGCCAACTTGAAAAAGACGAAAATAACTCTCGCACACTTACTTGCATTCACCAGACGTTTTTATTTACAGATGTGCAACGCTTCGGCTGTGGGCCTTCGTCAAGTCAGGCATAATCAATAGAATGTATGTGCGTACAGTAGGACCAGTGTGAGGGTCTTATGTGCCAGCTATACGGCAGTACGACTTGTGTAGAGTGAATAGAATACGCACTAAACTGTGCTACATAAATAAAGATAACAGTTACTTACTACTTACATGACTCTTTGTCGTGTTACAGTGATGTGGTGCATAATTGCTCTTGCAGCGCAGCACACACTGTGACAGAAGTCACTGGGAGCGCGCTCGCTAACACTCAGTTACCTTTCGAGGAGCACATGCAACAGCAGTGGCAGAACACAACCCCGTCATTTCTGGGCCATATCGACTGCCAACTTGATATTTCAGTTTGTGCTATGTGACATTTGGCTGACTGAACAGAGGTGTTGTGGACAGCTATCACCATGAGAGCAGGGAGGAAGGCAGCCGAGGAGAAAGACATAGATAGAAGGACAACAGGGCGGGGCAGGGCTGGAGGAGCAGACACTGGAAAGAGGGAAAAAAACAGAATATCAAGCCTTATCACAGCAGGCTGCAGTTTTCCAAATGTCTCTCTTCAAATGGCAGGCGAAGGTGCATATTAGATATAATGGTGTATCTTTGTCCAAGCTGGGCCATTCTGCACACTCTGCACCCAGTCATCCAAGACTTATAGCCAGGGGTGGAAACATCAAGGGTTTTTGCTATAATTTGCAAGAAGCATTTTTTTAAAATCTATTTCACATGAAGCTGTTGTGTTAGTTGTACTTTAAAGCCATAGAGGCTGAGGTGGGAGAGCGATCATATGCACAAGACACTTCACCTTTTGGCTGTGTTGAGTACACATAATTCAGTATTATTATTTGCTCTTTTATGAAGTAGTGTACACAAAATGGCCAATGTGTTTTTTTCCCCCCGAAAGGTTCATTTTCAATCTTCTTATAGGCAATTTTCTTAATACAAAAACAGAACCATTGTTGTGGTGATTTAATGTGAGCGCTGTGTATTTCTTCAAAACATATCAGTTTTATCCACATACTATACATTTTCTTTTTTTCTGACTTCTACAGGGAAGGACCACATTGCCTCTTACGGTGTGAGCTGCTGTATTGAAGACTAAAAGCCATGTTGATGTTGAAAACTTCATCACACATGGCTCTGAAATGATTTATTAATTCACTAGAGCTGGTGCAAGCTTCATCTTATGATCTGTGCAAACACTGGATAAAGCTGTCCATGATGTAGTGTCCCGAGTCTACAATAAGTGGCCCGTCTGCAGCTTCTTATGCAACGATAACCTTGGATTTCAACTTGCTGAAAGCGTAATCTCACCTCACACTAGCGTAGCAATGTGCTGCACATAAAAAAACTCTGCGTCAGATAAGCAGTGTCTGGTACATAAGAAAATCTATCAAAATAAGATAAATGTGCTTCTGTAACTGTACTGTGAGACAAACCACTTGTTTAGCCAAACATGAGGAACAGTGTGTTTATAGCAGGTATTAAAAAGTATAAAGTACCAAAACTAGTGTTGGAACTAGATACTAATTTGAGCAAGTAAAAACTAATTTCTTGAACATTTATTGATAATATTGGAACTATATCAGACGCCATTTAAAGGAGCCATATGAAAAATTATGGTCAAAAGTGGTACTGCAACCTCTCCCACTCTCCCTGAGTCAGGTTGCCAGATATGCAGACAAATCCAGCTGGGACCATATTAGCTGAATGGACAAGAGTTTTGTCAACAACATATCTATAACCAGTGTTGGGCACGTAAAAGTAATTAGTTATAGTTACTAGTTACTTCTCCCAAAAAGTAACTGAGTTACTAACGGAGTAACTCCACTATAAAAGTAACTAGTTACCAGTAAAAGTAACTATTGCGTTACTTTTTCGTTTTGTTCTGGAACAGAATGTGCACTCGAGGGGCACATTTTTACCTTTAACCTCAGTGAGTTTGAAATATTGCCAATATTTCCATCTGGAAAAGGCTGTTTTGCTGCTGGAGTCCTGTTCACTCTTCATCTCTCTCTGTGCTGTAAGCACTAAACATCAACACTCGCCACTGTGAATGTGGAAACACCGGTGAAGCACTGACTTCAGCCCAATCAGATGAACATATACATCATATAAATCAACTGGACAATTTGTTTAGCTACAGCAAATTATGCTTCATGCCCGCATTGTTTGTTCATACAAAACGCAACTATGAGTCATGCTCTTACCTTATAAATGACCTACACAGGCCACTTTGGTTCAGACCAGTTCCGTGTTTAAGTCCAGATAATAGTTTGAGCGTAGATATGTAATCCTCCATTTGGAAATGAGTTTTAAAAAGTAAAACAAAACGCGTGTGTCCTCCATAAACTCTTCTGTTTTGCTAGGTGCAGCCGGGTGCATCCAATTTCTAAAATCAACCGTCTTATGGCGCGTTCACACCGGACTTAACTTCGGCATCAAAAGCGTCAGGTTTGCATTGAAAGTGAATGGTGAAGCGCGTCAGGTGAAGCCGAGGGGCCCGGCGTCACTTGGCGCGCGTCAAAAGCTTCAAAGGTCGCTCGCGTATCACAACAATCCCTTTGACGCCGAAGCTGAGCAAAGCTGAGCTTTTGAAGCTTTGACGCGGGCTTCAACCAATCAGGAGACAGGGTCGCTCTACGATGAAGCCGGTGGAAGCGGGAAACAAAATCATATTCGAGAACATGGAGGAGAGCTTAATCGTGGCGATTAGCTCTCGCCCAGAGCTTTACGCTGTTTCCAGCCCGCTATACAGGGACAGGAATAGAAAGGACCTTGCTTGGAGGAGGATAAGCGAGGAGATCGGGTACGATGGTAAGTTATGTAAAGAATTCATATCTGTATTCCATGTTTAGTAAACTCCGGTCAGGAGTCGTACAATGTACAGTCGCTATGATTTCTGTTCCCGCTCACAAGTCCATTTGTTCATATAGAGAAAGAAATCAAAAAGAGGTGGAAAAGCCTGAGGGACAGGTTCATGAGGGAGTGCAGGAAGGAGAAAGAGAGGAGGCGCAGTGGTGCAGCAGCAGGGACAGTGCAGAGGTGGAGGTACTTGGCATCGCTCTCCTTCCTCGAGCCCTACGTAACACCGAGGCCATCTACTGGTAACATGACAGCACACAGGGCCGAGGAGGAGAGGGGGTACGACCACCTCCGAGAGGAAGAACCAGCAGCAGCGGAGGTGTCAGTTGCAGGAGGTCTGTAGCTAAAACAATGTATTGAATGAAGTCATGCAGCTGCCCACTAAACTGTTTTGTTGTCATTGTTTATAGCAAGGTTATTTATGAGTATTAACGTTCTTAATAAGCAACTGGCAAAATAAATGTACATATGCTGTAAACTAATGTCAGATGTAGGTGTGTAGCTAAAACAATGTATGGAAAGAAGTCATGCAGCTGCCCACTAAACTGTTTTGTTGTCATTATTGTTTATAGCAAGGTTATTTATATGAGTATTAACGTTCTTAAAATGATTGTACACGTGCTGTGAAGTGAAAGTAATTTATTTAATAACAGATGACGCTGATACGGAGTCAAGTTCAGAGACAGAGCCGAGTGCTGGACCGTCCTCGGCCTCTGGACCGTTCTCGGCTCCTGGACCGTCCTCGGCTCCTGGACCGTCCTCGGCTCCTGGACCGTCCTCTGCTGCTGGTTCTTCCTCTGCTGCTGGTTCTTCCTCTGCTGCCGGTCGTTCCCCTGCTGCTGCACCTACAGGTGTGTAGGAAATCAATTTTATTGTTGTGAAAGTATAAACGTTATATTAAACATTTCACAAATACTTTTGAATATGTGGGCATCAAAAAGTGAAATATACAAATCGAATACTATTTTTACATAGGATCTAGTTATTTTATTTAACATAAGAAAAGGATTTAAAAGTTGTTCATAGATTATCAGATCCTACATACTCATGACTTTATATTTTTAAAGCCATTGTCTTGTGGTGTTTGCAGGTCCACAAAGGAAGAGAGCGAGGAAGCGCACCACCCAGGACACCTCCGCCCAGGAGCTATCGCGCTTGGAGCTGGAGCTGATGGCCCTCCTGCGGCAGACTGCAGCTCCAGCTCCATCACGAAATGAGCTCTTCCTCCAATCTCTGCTTCCTCTCCTGGATAAGGTGCCACCTCAATCTTTAGAATTTGTCAAATTCCAAATTCATAAATTACTTTATGAGAGCAGCGCATTTACGCTTAATGTGGAACAATTGGAGCACACTTAGTAGTAGTGTTTAGCTATCAGGTGGCTTCTTTTGCAGGGGAGGAAACAGACTCTTCTCCTTCCTGCACTCCTCCTCCAAGCAAGGTCCTTTTTATTCCTGTTCCTGTTCTTTTTTGTGTATATATTTTTTTTTACATATTTCATTAAAAAATTTATAACTTAAGATTTGGTCTGCTACTTTAAATATGTACAGGTTTTTCATTAAGGTATGTGTTCAAATAAGTTAAATATCACTAATTTCAAATACTTCAATTAAGGAGAACTTTACTCGTAAACACGTTATCACCAAATATGAGACAATAGAAATTATAATAGAAATAGTTGACATAATTAATTTCAGCATATCCTGTTTGGACAAACTTGTAATTGAGGCCATGCTTGAACATGTTGTGAAGTCGGAGACAGCTGCAGAATCTGGAACTATTACCTGCAAACAAGAAGGGCACAGGTGAATGGTTAAAAAACATACTGGATAAACATAGACATGGTCTTTATCCAAGACTAGAATTCATGATCAGGATGTTGTAGTATTTGTGTCCCGATATTCAAAAGTAATGCATTGGCAAATACAGACACTCAAATATTATTAAAGAAGAAATGCTCTTTAGTTTTCATGGGTGGCTCTTAAAAGAACCGTTTTGGGTCAGTCCCGTGAGGATCTGACTACTCTGTCGGCTGCCATGCTACTGCCCCCTCCTCACAGAAGTGGGCCATGAACGCCTCCCTCGCCTGCAGTGCCTCTCTGGTGGCGTTGTTGGCACCCATCCTCCCGACACCTGGAAGACAGTCATCTCCCTGCGCTGCAGCTCCTCTCAGGACTGGGACCGGAGCAGACACCCTCAGGAAATTGTGGAGAACACATGTGGCCTTCACGCACTTCTCCACAACTTCTGGCCGGATCTCGAGGTCCCGACGAAACATCCTCCACTGCGATGACCAAATGCCAAACGCATCCTCCACCACCAGCCGGGCTCGGGAGAGGCGGTAATTAAAAATGCGCTGTCCAGGGTTAGCGCCGCCACTTCCTGGAAAAGGCCGCATTAAGTTCCTCCGCAGTGGGAAGGCCTCATCTGCCACAAACACATGGGGCAGGGGGCCTCGGTGCTCTGCTCCAGGGAGATGCCGGTCAGCTGGCAGAGGAAGTGTTCCCGCATGCAGAGCCTGACCGAAGGTGGAGTTGGCCAGGATCCCTCCATCGCTGGTTCTGCCATAGCCCCCTACGTCAATCACCCTGAACTTGTAGTTGGCATCTACAATAGCAAGGAGGACCAAGGAGTGCCTACCCTTGTAGTTGAAGTACAGGGAGCCTGAGTTGGGGGGTGCCTTGAGGTTGATGTGCTTCCCATCTATAGCACCACAACAAAGAGGGAAGTTCCACCGCTCCTCAAACTCCATAGCAGACAACCTCCACTCCTCTTCTCCAGGCACAGGCATGAACTCCTCCACCAGGCCGTCCCAGATGGCTGCCACCACATCTGGGATGATGCTGGAGATGGTGGAGATGCCCACCCTGAAGCTGCTTGCTATGGTCCTGAAGGAGTCCCCAGTAGCAAGAAACCTACAATGATACAAATACGACTCAGCAATATACAAAAATATTTTAAATTAATCATACATATATGTGTAAATTTGTTTTCAGGAATTGCACCAACAATGGAAATGTACCCTCTCTTGTGAAATCACAGGGGGGTTAATCACTTGGGAATCTGAATATATTAAGTACTAAGTAGCAGACAATGCTGATTTAATTGATCAGTTTTCTAATAACTTCACTACAGTGACACAATGCACCTTCAAAATGACTTCAAATGCACAAACGAGGGCCATAGCAAATATATCAATTGTATTAATGATTACTCTAAATACAATCGTTATACAGAAAGGTCTGTAACAAAAGCCTCCTTGGGTTCACGGGTGTTCAGCGCCGCTCAACACCCGTGGTTAGCCGGTTAGCATTGGAGCTCCGCGCTGGAGGGAAAAAGTCCGACAAAAATTTAAATATCTATTTAATCACCAAACAGACCTCTGATATGACATTAGTGGGGTATATTTCCCGCCTGAAATGTTATTACAATTAACTTTTATGTCCTAATTAAAACGTATATTCAACGTTTAACTACTGCTTTTGGCTGCTCCTATCTCTCGGGCCGTGATCCATGCTAGGGACGCTATTTCCTATTGTATTTTTAGATATTTTATCAGAAAATTCTCACTAACCTCAGACAGATAGACAGGCGCTCTTCCGCTGGAATCGAGCGCCTGTAGTTGGTGTCCATGCGGGCGATGCGAGCTCCGATGCGGGTGAGCAGGTCATCAAACTGGGCTACTGACATTCGGAAGTACCGCTGAAAGCGAGCCTCGTCCATACGCAGCTCCTGGAGTAAATGGTGAAACTCACCAAACACTGCACGCCTCTGAAGTATGCTGTGAACCCATACACGTTGTGTAGAAGCCCTACGACGACGTTGTATGAATTTTACCAACAAATAAAGGCAAGCTGCTCTTCGGAAATCCGCCATCTTCTCTGGACTACACCGGCAACAGAGAAGCTCCTCCCACCAGCGTCAGGCGCGTCAGTCGCGTCACTCGCGTCAAAAGCTTCAAGCACCAAAATGACAAAAATAACCCGGCGTCAGCTGACGCGCGTCAAAAGCTTTTTGAAGCTTTTGGTCTGAACGCGCATTACACTTCACCTCTGTTTCTTATCATTTCTATAGTCATTGAAAAATTACCCTAAGTGCATTTTAAATTATCTTAAAATGTGTTATATGTATGTTAGCCAAACCTGTTGCTGTCCTTAGCAGATGAACCAGGAAGAGAAAGGAGCTTTTGGATGGAATTGTATGCAGCCGACTTCTGCGCTCACATGCGCTCCTCTGAGGCCTCACGGTGATACAAGCCGTGGTTGAGAGTGATTGACCCATATTTGTTTCAAAAACACAATTTATGAGCCATCCTCTCAACTGTAGTCATGTAGATTGTAAAGGAAATATGTTTTACATCAGCCAATAATTGCTGAGAGGTTTTCTCATCCTCCCTTCTCTCATGACAACAGGCGCACGAGTCCTATCACGAAGTAAAAAGAGAAGTTCATTGTGCGTCTTGAGTAACACGCAGCAATGGGATGTCGGAAATGATAACTGCGTTATAGTTACAGTCAAAGTAATTAGTTGGATTACTCGTTACTGACGCCGTTACTAGTAACGCCGTTATTCCCATCACTGTCTATAACCAACACCTTTTTTCACAAAAGGTAGAAATCTTTTGTTTTATTCCTTGTTTTGTCGTTAATAGTTTGAGAATCATAACAAAACCTTTTTTTAGTTCTGCGGTCACTTGTTACTTTACTAGTGAGATTAGCTGGACGTTGTAAGTTCTGCCAACTATTTAGAGTTAAAAGTTAAAGTTAAGAATTAAGAAGATGGCGCCGTGCCAGGGCGCCGCTGCAAGAGCTCCGTTGTGCACCGTGATTTTTATGCTGTTTTTATCCACTTATAACACTTTATAACACTTGCCACTGTGGTATATGATCGACAGACTCTCCTGGACATACGGGACTTGGCCTGTGAGCCAGTGTTGCCTGCTCTGAGGTGTGATGGCTTTGACGAGTGCCCAGCTCGAGGAGAGCGGCGTGCGGACCGCGACAGAGACTGGGAACAGGGCGATGAGGCCGGGCGCCTCCCCCGTGTTCACCACCGTGCGGAGCCGGGTGTCTCACGCCGACGGAGGAAGCGCAGACACCGGGGAAAGCGAGGCGGGCTTCTCGTGCGGAGTTGCGCCCCCAGGGTCCCACTGCCACCCATTTACCTTGCAAACGTTCAGTCTCTCCCGAACAAGTCGGATGATCTCCTGAGCCGAATCCAGTACCAGCGCGAGGCTCGGGACTGCGCAGTGTACTGCCTCAGCGAGACGTGGCTGCATCCGAATATCCCGGACTCAGCTGTTCAGCCGCCGGGATTCGCCATTTTCCGCTCGGACAGAGAGAAGGAGAGCACGGGGAAATCGAAAGGTGGATGTGTGTGTCTTTTATTTAACCAGCGCTGGTGCATGGACAGTTGTATTGTAAACAAAACATGCTCTGCTAACCTGGAGTGTCTGGTTTTGAGATGCCGCCCGTTCTATCTTCCCCGAGAATTCTCAGTGATTTTCTTATGTGCTGTATATATTCATCCTCGGGCTGACTGTACAGTTGCACTGAATGACTTAAGTGACATTTTGCATAAACATGAAGCTGCTCACCCCAATGCTGTGATTATAGTTGGTGGTGATTTTAATAAATGTAACTTAAAGTCTGTATTACCGAACTTTTATCAGCATGTGAGTCAGCCTACCAGGGGAGCGCACATCCTGGATCACTGCTATAGTAACGTGAAGGCAGCTTACAGGTCCAGTCTCAGACCTGCTTTTGGGAAGTCTGATCACTCCGCTGTTCTCCTTCTTCCTTCTTATACACAAAGGAACAAACAGCACAAACCTACTTCCCGCACTGTGCAGTGCTGGTCTGAGGAGGCTAACATGAAGCTGCAGGGCTGCTTTGATGCCACAGACTGGTCTGTTTTTAACTCTGAGAATGTTGATGAATTCTGTGAGGCTGTTACAGGATACATACAATTTTGCATTGACTGTTGTGTGCCCTATAAAGTTATCAAAGAACACTCCGGCCAAAAACCTTGGATGAACACTGATGTCAAATTTAGAATTAATGAGCGGACACTGGCGTTTCAATCCGGTGACGAGGGCGCTTACAAGCTGTCCTGCTACGCTGTGGAACGCTCTATAAAAGCTGCTAAGCGTTCCTCTGGGGACAGGTTAGAGGGCTTCTTTGGCGAAGAGGACCCTCGACGCATGTGGAAGGGGATCAGTCTTATCACGTCCTGGAAACCAAGTGCAGGGAAAATTGCTGCTGGCCAAACTCTGCCAAACGAGCTCAACAACTTTTACTGCCGCTTTGAATCTGCTGATCCCCTGCCTTTTGTCTTCCCCGAATGCCAGGGTGCCTTCACAGTGACTCAGGATGAAGTACGGCGGGTCTTGTCCAGGACCACAGCTCGGAAAGCCGCAGGCCCGGACTGCATTCCTCCCCGCGTCCTGAAACTGTGCTCCGAGCAACTTGCCCCTGTTTTAACGGACATCTTTAACTTGTCACTAAGGAGCTGTACGGTGCTGGTGAGCTTTAAAAGGTCCACCATTATTCCAGTTCCTAAGAAGTCTCCAGTGACATGTCTCAATGACTACCGTCCTGTGGCCCTCACGTCCAGTGATGGGAATAACGGCGTTACTAGTAACGGCGTTACTAACGCCGTTACTTTTTTCAGTAACGAGTAATCTAACTAATTACTTTGACAGTAACTATAACGCCGTTATCATTTCCGACAT